TACCTTACATGAGATATTTGCATTCGCAATTTTGGTTCATTGGTCTAATTTTTACTTACGTAATAAAATCTTATTTAAATTCTTATTATGCCTATGCTTAAATGCACGATATGATAAAACATTAAGCAGTTTGTTTGTCAATAATTAAGACAAAAATCACATGAAAAACTGATAAATCGAAGACGAATACCTTAAAAAAAAAAATGGATTCGAACAAGATTCCCGATAAGTACTCGCACAGTAAAATCTTCGACATTGAGCGATTCTCGTTCGAATAAATTTTGTTAAAAGGAACAAGATATATACGTAAGGGCTCCCGTACAATCAAAAATATAAAGAACAAGGAATAGATATTAGCGATTAAGAATAAAAAATCAGAAATAAAGCTGGTGTAGCATTGATACACGGCTTTCGATAGGTAAAAAATCTATTGCCTGTGTTTTTCATTGCGCATCCAACTTTATTCCTGATTCTTTAGTTCTAGTCGCTAAATCTGTTCCTTGTGCCTTATATTTTTGATTGTGCGGGGGCCTTAAGTGCCTTATCTGCCAACCTTGGATATGCAAACATTTGTTTAATACTGTGTCGCAATTTCAAAGAGATTCTGTTGGTCTGTTTATTCTGGACAAGGCATTGGATGGCTAACAGAGGCGTCAAGAGCCCTCGGCAATGTACACTTATCAAAAGTTATTAGTATTTTCATAGTCTTACGAAATAAAATACGAAATAAATGCCTATAAAACGCATAGGGCGTATCAAAATAGGATTGTTCTAATAAAAAGACAAAGCTTAGAAAAATATTGCGCCCGAAATCAAGACCTCGAATCGTGTGAGCCACTAAAAAAGTTTTCTAAATCTTTTTGGCACTCGTAACAATGGAGGAATCGTTTCCTTCACTTCACACGTCGGTACACAAACGCATGTTTGATCAAGGTTGCTGTTGTTGCATCTTCGCCTGCATCGAAGCCAGCAATTCCTGCATGTGCCGTATTTCTGCCTCCTTTTCTTGCAATATGCGATCCTTCTCTGACACAGTGCTGTTTTTGTCGGGGTCCGCGATGCTGCACAGAAGAAAAGCAAGAAGTTCAAGTAACGTTCATACAAACGTCAGAAATATAATATAAATTGATATGTTTGTGCTCACGTTTGACGTCGGGGCGGTACCGGAGCTCCCTTCGCTAATCTCTCGCTACGGTAATTCTCGTAATGTACCTCTTGCGTTACTTCCTGCAAATCTTGCATATGCGTGCTATAAAAAAAAAGAATAATATCAGACTTACGTATATCAACGTAGAAATATCATATAATTATGAAAAACTTACATCAGCATCGTCCGTAGCTTGATAAAATCGCAGTGATCTGGGTTCTCCACTTCGACAACGCCCCACGGATACAGTCGACCGCGTACCTTCTTTCCCTTGACCTCGAGCAAGGTATTCGCACCGCACACCGCAAACGGGACAGCCTCTTTCAATTGACGTACTTGCTCCTTGTAATCCTCATCCTCGTCGCTATCACAGTCCGGTAAGGGATATATTTTGATTCCGTTGCCTTCAATCTCCTCCATAACTCTTTTCTTCAGGCGCAAGACTTCCTTTTTGGTAAGTACATCAGCTTTCGCTATTACAGGTACTATGTTAACTTTGTTATGAAGTTGCTTCATAAACTCGATGTCCAATGGCTTCAACCTGGTTAACGCGAGAGAAGAGAAGAACCGATTGTATTACTTTGCTTCACCACACGTTCGTCTCTGACGTTGATCTCTGATCGACTTAATTTTATAATAAATTTGTACCCGTGGCCAAACGGAGATATGAAATAGAAACAACAATGTATTCTATTATCCACGATGTTTCTCCTATTCAGACCGCTCTCGTCGCGAAGAAATCTTTCAAACTGATCGTCTATATATTGAATGATAGCTCGGAAGCTATCTGTGTTGTCAATCGCGTCTCCATAGCCAGGTGTATCGACGACCGTTAATCTAAGCTTCACGCCCCTTTCTTCAATCTCGACCGTTGAAGCATCGAGTTTGACAGTTTGATTGGTTTTCTCTGTTCGCAGAGGTAACAAAAAGATACTTAAATTATATAGAAATTTGTAAAAAATCACATGCCCGAATTTTGTATATCTAAAATTTCAGAATACGCATGATTCGCTTGTGCCTACCAACTGCGTCGGGAATTATCCGCTCGGGATACAAATCCGTGAGGAATAAACTGTTCACCAGGGTGGACTTGCCCAAACCGGATTCTCCCACGACCATAAGCGTAAACTCGAAACCCTTCTTCACGGACTTCCGGTGCACTTGATTGGGAAGGTTCGCGAATCCCACATACCCAGGCGTCTCAAGGCTTGCAAACTGGAAGAGAAGCGTACCTATGTTAGTTAAAAATATCT